GTGACTTTAGCCAACAACAAAATTCCCCTTTATCAATGTACTGTATGTACGTATGAAACGTAACAGTTTTGCACTTAACCGTTACGTATTAGTTTTAATCGATACTTAGATATATATCAAAGTTTTCAGACAGATGACGTTTTTCTGTAGCGTATTGATTTCTCGATTTAACGTTAAAATACGTAATTATTGGCGTAACAACGTTAAGACGTTGTGGCGTTATTACATATTATTATGACTTATTTGAACGTGAATGTGCCAAAACTGTATTAATTTAATTTGGACCAAAAAATTCGAAAATACTGGTTTTTCTGCTTGGAACCGGTTCCGTCATGAACCGGAATCAAACCGACGTACTCAAAAGATTGATTATCCCGGTTAAACATCAGCACCTTTTTTTTTTTTTTTTTTAATGTGTTACAAGGATTGTCAAAAAAGAAGCCTGTTTTATTTGGCGAAAATCTCGACATGTGAGAATACATATTTAAATATAACGGATATCTGGCAGTGACAATGATGAAAAGTTTTTTTTTTTTAAAGAAAAAAAATTTTTTTGAAATTTTTATAAATAAGATAAGAATTCGATTTTCTACACACAAAAAAAAAAAAAAACAAAAATTCGTCCAAACTATACATATTCGTTAACACACGTATTAAAATTTTCTACATGCATTAAATTACGGATCGGGGAAATTCCCGGGATTTATTACTGCTCTTTTTTTATGCTGTCAGTATTACCTAACACATAGTCAATTTTTTGTGCTAATGCAGGTGGTGCTCTATTATGAATGCCAGTCTTGATTTGTTCTTTTCCAATTTTGATTATTTCTGATCCAATCATATAGCAGAAAGTTTCGACTGGTCCAAAAAGGTTTAGTAACCAGATTATGTATCCAATAATTCCAAAGAAGGAAGTGATTATAAGATATGTCGGTGATGTAATAATGGATATGAATTCATTCCAACCGAGTATAACTAGTTATAAAGTATTTATTAGCTTTATATCGCTAAATATGAAAAAAAAATAAAAAATAAATTTAACTCACCAAACATAACAAAGACCCAATATGGTATGCGAGCTGTTGTTGCTACGACAGAACGTTTCGCTTCGAGATAGAATGCGTCGGACTCTCGTTTGAAACGAACTGATAAATCATGCTGCCGAGTCTCGGTAAGAATTGTCAACGAATTTTCAAAATCGAGCTCCTAAATATTTATAAAAAATGTATAACATTACTGTATATAAGAAACAAATAAATAAAATGTATATAATTTCATTTCCTTACTTCGTCTGATGGAATATCTAATTCTACGTCGTCAGGAATTTGAATTGAGGCAAATAAAGGTATAAGTTTGATTGCCTGAATACAGTATTCATTTTAGTAATTACGAAGCGAATCATATATCGAAACATTATAATATACATTAGTACCTCCTCCTTGGCCGTCCGGAAATGCGCATCTATATCATCATCTGGTTTCCATACTTTTGGTAAACCTTCGTCATCATATCGGAATTTTTCTTCAAATCTGTCAGAAAACTTGGTGAATTTTTCCTTTTTGTTTTTTTTTTAAAAAAAAAACAGTTCATAAATTATTTGTTCACCTTTCACGTAATTTAAGTAAAAACATGTTATCTGCAAGTTCATCATCAATTTTCTTTCGCAACTGCAGCCAGGAACGCTTACGAAGGCTGGAAACAGCCTCTATATTCTCTTCTTCAGTAGCGTTAAAACCTAATCATGATATGTAAATTCAAATTAGCATATCAAATATTATTTACATAATCAAACATTATTTTAAGCACATACTCTTTAAACGTTTCAATAATTGTTGCTCAACATTAGTAAGAACTTGGTGAAACTTTCTGATAGTCTTGCCCCACATATCCTGAGTTGGCGTTTTGAAGTATAGAGAAACGAATTCGTTGATTTGCGATTGAAACGTTTTCTGTGTTGCAAATTGAAAAACGAGCAAAATTAATATGACTACAAAGTTTAAAAAGCTATTATGATTATAATTATAAGTTCATCTAAATTCTGTACCTCTAATGCTTTAATCATTTTTTTCGTTTCTTCAGTACGTGATTTCGCCGCAATTTCGTTAATGGAATCTCTCAATTGAGTAAGTTCTTCTTCAAAAGTCCAATCAGTGCCGGACAAAAGAATAGCTAAATCATAATTGAAATTAGAAATGTTATTTAAATATTAATGTGAACCATGTCAATAGTTATGATTGTTACCTTGAGCTCCAGTTGTGAAAAGTTCCTCGACCTGTTCACGAGTATTACTGACAACTTCAGCGAAATCGTATTCTCCTTTCAATTTTTCCTATTGGTAAAGTGAAATATTAATTTATTAAAGGACGTTATAAGTAAAAACTCAATCTAATATCATTACCTGAACAGTAGAACTGAATGTATTTATGGCTTTCTTTGTGAGATTTTTTAATTGACCAAGGAAGAATACATGTAATTGAGAATTTGCTTTTTGAAGAATTTCTTGTCGTTTACGGTTATACACATCAGAGTGATATCGGGACGCATCTTTGTCGAATTGCTCTAATCACAAAGCATGAAACATTCAATATTAAACCGATTATTTTAAGAATATAAACAATCTATAAATAAAACTTACTAATAGTAGCATTTCGAATTTCTTCCATTTGTGGCCCTAGATCATCGACAATTTTGCCAGCTTCAATAGGTTGTCTGTATACCTTGATTTTTCCCAAGAAATTATCAAAAGCGACCTTTTTTGCAAATCAACGAATTGGTCTTAGTAAAGAAAATATATAAATCGAACCATCTAGTTTGTATAATTATAAAATAGTTACAGATGCTATTTCATCACAACGATATTGGGCTAAAAGTTCCTGTTGTGTCGGTAAATCAAGGTCTTTATTTGACATAATTTGATCCTAATTATTCAATCAATAATTAGAAATATTTATTTCAAATCATTTATGTGATAATGTTTTATGAATATTATGCTTATGTATAAACATACCCAAATGCCTTCTGCATAAACATGAAGACCATCAGCAGGAACTCTTTTGTTGTAATTTGGTTTGAAAACAAAATCTTTATTGTTTGGATTAACAAACCTAACAATGGCAATAAACAAAATATACAATAATTAAATAAAATAACAATTAGATACTTAAAACTTTATAATAACCAATTAACAAAGCCATACCGTTCTCGTAATTTGATAACCTCTTGTTCGAACTCTTTTGGTAAGAGAAGTTTATGGGGTAACGCGGTGAACATAAAATCAAAGTAATCTTTAATCATACAATGTTCTAAACCTTCAGGCTGAAGAAATAGCAATGATTCAATATTAATGAAACATTTTAATAACACAATGTATATTAATAAAGATACAAATATTGTAATTACCTTAGAAACACCTTCCCAAATTCTTTCTAAATCAGACGTTAAAGTATTCGACAAGTTGGCCAATGGTGTTGAACCGACATGGTCTCTAATTACGAAGAGCAGTAAAGTCTTTTCTTTTTCTTTACTACAAAAATAATTTAAATTATTGAATATAATAAAACGCAATAAAGAAAAAAAAATAAGATAATTTAAAGTGAAATATAAATTAGATAAATTAGATTAAGTTAGGGGAACATTATTAATAATGATTCAAGAACACATACCCTCGTGCAGCTTGGAACAATTGTAAGTTCACTTCAAAAACGGTTTTCAGAAGGCCCATATTAGCACCCTGATAAAGACCAACTTGGTGTTCCCAAAGATTAACAATGATAACATTGGATGTAGCCATAGAAAATAATGCACTCTTTCTTTCAAAATCCTATTTAGAACTCAAATGATTAGCATTTAATCGTGCCTATTATGACCTAAAGACCTAAATAGTTACTAACCTGGTCTTCACCACGCTCACGGCCATCAGTACCTTCAACGTCCATGATCAATACATTCATATCTCTGCCACGACTCATCCAAATTCCTAATGATTGAATCCAGAATTTTAATAAATATGCTATACTTTTTAATAATTTATTAAAAAAGTGTTAATTATGATACCTTTGGTAGTTTGACGGCGAGCATTTTCACTCATAACATCAAAATTTGTCCCGAAGAGTCTGTTTAATAATGTACCTTTACGAAGTAACATTAACTCAATAAGATAAAACTTCTAAAACATAATAGGATTAAAATTTTATATTAAGTACTCACTCTTCCCGGTACTTTGTGATCCGAAGACAGCCACTAAATTATAGTTGAAACCACAGTCAGCAAGTTCCCATTCATCTTTCATGCATCTTGGTAATTCTTTTCTATTGAAAATAAAGGTTTATGGCTTGTAAAAAAAAAAAATATATAAAGTACATAATGAACGTCAACACGACAGAAGACAGGACATACGTGAAGTGCTGGTTTTCATCAATAATTTGTAGCTGAGCAAAGGTTCTATTAGTACCGTTGATTTGTTGGGCCTGCCCATTAGGCTCGTTAGAAGAGCCAATATCTGTTGCAGTCATTTTATGTCTTTGAATAATTTTAGAATTCAAACGTAAGGTAAAATATGGTCAGACTCGCAGAGACTGCCCTATAAATTGTTGACTGACATGTGACGTATTTCTGTTTATATGTACGGTCGCCGCAGAACGCCCGATTTTTTTTTATGTATTACATGCTTTCTGTGGCGACTGTATGTACGTACGTAGCTAATATCCAATGCATGTGTCACAAAGTGAATACATATGTACAGTGTAATCGCACGAGTCGATCTTAAATATTGGGAGAAGTTCCCAATTTTCTTGTCCTAATTTCCTGTTCTAATTTGATCTGAACATGAATTTTTTCTTTGATTTGGTTGATAATCAGCAATGGCTTATCAGTTATACAGTATATCCTGCCTAATCCTGCCTAAGTACTTCAGCTAAATTTTGAACAAGGATATTCAATAAACCTACAACCTTTCAAACATTCGGATTGTGATTTTTGGCATTGTTTTTGGTTATCTTACTGTTCTTATATTTTCGAACAAGGAAATTTTTATATTATAGTAATTTATATTATTATATTAGCAATAAAAAATTTTTTCGAGATTAACCAACTAACCAACTATAGTTTAAACTAATTTAGCCCGTTTAAACTTGATATTTAACTCGTGAAGTAGTAGAACGCATTTTTACTATTTTTTTTTTATCGTTATTTAAGAAATATCGGTACGTATACAATTATTTTTGAATTATATATTTAAGAAAAAACAAATTATTGTATTGTTTAATAACAAAGCGACCTCGTTAAAATATACCCTTTATAAATGCTACGCGACACATGACGATTACGGCCAATTATTTACCCTTTACTACAGTACTATCAAGGCTACTATGCAACTACATACATGCTTTACGGGTTGTTATTGGCAAATTTCAAAACGCATAAAAAAACCCCTGTAATTCTTTAAAGTTGTCTACATGAAAATACGTATAAAATTAAATTCACCGTACGTACGTACTTGTTATACATAACAGATAACGATAAGGTTACTTCTTAATTTGTTATTTTTTTTTCCAAATTAAGGTGAGCACTTTCTTTTAGCGTTAGTTATCGTATTTTTTAATATATATAAGTTTATACATACGTATTATTACAATTTTTGTATTTAGAATTATTTTCAAGATTAGCTTTTAGCAATCCTAACCAAAACTTTCTTTTTAATGGGTTAAATTTTATACTTATTTTATTTTTGTACTTTTTTGATGTTTAGTTTAACGTACTGTACGTACGTATTAAAGGCTTCTATATAGCTAAATTTTTATATAGCAGATAGTTTATATATATATTTTAAAGTATTGCTAATTTTAACTATATAGGAAGAATTCACTGGGATGCTATATACAGTATCTCTAGCTAATTTACGTCAGGAGTACTAAGCAAAAATGTTTAAAATTCTTTAAATCTTATTTTAACACTAATGTCTAACTTTAAGCTTTGTCTAAGATTATATTCTAACTTTAAATTTTTAATAATAATTAAAGAAAAAATTTTTTTCTTCGGTTAAATATAATAATTTTCTATTTTTATTAATATTTTTATAACTAATAAAATTAAATATAATAGATATTTGTTTGGTTATTAGATTAAGTTTAGTATATATACTGTAAAAAAAATTATTTGAAATTTTGTTAAAATGCTATATACAATATTTTAATATAGAAATAATTTATATAGTATCTTTGCAATATTGGTATTTTATAAAATCAAGTTTAATACAAATCAAAATAATTAAAATAATCTAAGCTTATTTGATTTAGTTAAAATTAGAATTAAGTAAAATTAAATTATAAATAAAAAAAATTTTAATAAATTTTACAAAATATTTTTTTGTTAATGCACAAAAGATAATTTTATACTGTCAACTATCGATATAACGGACACCTTTAGACCGGAATCACCAGTTTAACGGACTAATTACAAGGTACAGA